TACTCAAGTTTCAAGAAATGATCTAGGTGGACATTCACAACCGGTATGAATCAAAAATAAGAATCAAAGATGATCAGGTTGGGTTTCCATCGTCGACCAAAGGATGAGAAAAGAATAAGGAAAAATCAAAGGATGATTATGATGTGGACAGGCGGACTTCGATGGGTCAGTTTTTACCTTACGAACGAATCGAAGGCCACAGTAGAGGTTTTCGGATAGCGGACAGGTTCAGGATCGATAGGAGGACCGATCGCAGTCAGAATAATCGATCACTGCAAGATAGAGAAGTGGCAGGATCACGGGATCCTTCCTACCCCAAATTATCAAAATACAACTTCAACGTTAGTATAGTGGAATGGGTATCAGCCATGAGAAATATCAAAGAAGCACGGTTCCCAAGACCGATGAGATCTTATTCTAACAAAAGGGATCCCAACTTGTAGTGTGAATACCACGAGACGAATGGCCACCGGACAGGGGACTTTCGACATCTTCGGAAAGAAGTGGCAACATTACTAAAGAATGGTCACCTCAGATAATTCATGAGTGACCGAGATAAGAACAATTATGGTCATAACCTAGACAACGCAGAACCCTTGAAAGCGGGAGAAGATCCCCCATGTCAAACAAACAACATGATCTTCGGAGGGAACAAGATTAACGGGGTCACCTTTTCAGCAGCAAAGAAGAAGAAAGTAGCAATAACGCATAGCAAAAGGCTGAGGACGCAGATAGATTGCTGCTACCGCACAACGACGCATTGATAATTTCTTTAAATGTACTAGATTTTAAGATTAAAATTGTTTTATTGGATCCAGGGAGTTATGCTAATATCATACAATGGAGAGTATTGGAGCAATCTATACTCACCGGAAGCATTATTCCGGCCACAAAGCTCCTCGCCGGATTCAACCTCGCAAGTGTGACAACTCGGGAAGAAATTTTATTACTCACAAACACTGAAGGAGTAATGAAAACAACTCTTTTCGAAGTGGTAGTTGGTGATATAGGATACAACATCATTCTGGCAAGGTTTTTAATGAGACAGTAACAGAAAACATACTACTAATACAATAGCAATAAGACATTTTATAGCAAGGCACACAATTAGAGATCCACTTGGGGATGGTTAGATAATCTTTTGCACTATAGCAAATTCCCACCCGGAAGTTAAGCTTGCTATTGAGCAAAGGTCATCTGATCATACACGAGCTCAAACCACTAGAGGGCTGTTAGATAGTCCTTCGCTCGCTAGCATAAATTCCTAAGAGGAAGTAAAGTGCGTTACCAAGTTAAGGATTATCTAGCAATGCTTTAGTGGAATCTTCAAACATACAAGACTTCCAGTGTTCCAATTCACATTCGAACACTGGGGGAATGATATGAGGATACGGCAACAATGACTGCCACGTCGACCGGGAATGAAAAAAAGGAAATATAATTACATCATCGGGACCGGGGACTGCGCGAACAGCCCCGTAGAAACAAGTTGTACAAGTTAGCCACAAGAAATGGCAATTTCTTTTTAGCATAGCAAATGCTTATATATTTTTTGAAAATAGAAGGAATAAAATGAAATCCTTTTGTTTCTATCTTGTTTCTTTTCTGAACGATGAATTAACTTTGTCATTTGAAAGTTAAACACGTACTTCAAATGCTAGTGCCGTAATGAACATGAGACGTCCTCTTCAAGAGCACCGTAAACATAAGAGGAACCTTTCTTATAAAAACCCTCATATTAAAGGGTTGGCTCCGGAACAATTTATGCCGGAATCAAAAATACCATCAGGGAAAACTACATGCGAAATCGCATATGAAAAGGATGCAAAACGTAAACTTGCACAAACACTTATCAAAGCCCTCACAGAAAAGGGCTGATGCCCGGAGCCAAAAATGCTTTCGGGGAGAATACACCCAAAAGTTTCACATAATAAGATGCAAAGAATTCTGCGCAAAATTCTTAAAGAAAATGAAAAGATTAAAGGCTTGCATGAATATTCTAATGATGAGAAGACTGAAACAATACTTGAGCAAAACATGTTTTGATTTACAAAAACATGATAAAATGGCATATACGAGGACTGGAAAAAGAAATGAAAAGCTAAAATGCATTGTCTCCGGAACCAGGAGGAAGAGAAGTGTCCGCACCACCGGAAGAAGTAGACGGATCCACCGATGGCTCAATATTTTAACCAGTTTGGCCTCCGGCATCATCATCCTCCGATTCATCTTAAGTTCCCGAAAACTCATAACCGGAACAAGAAGGATCAGGTGCATCAGACCTCGATGGGAGTCCACTTTTAGCAACTAACTCAAGCTCGCGGGCCTTAGCAATTTCGGCATCAAAATTAATGACACTAGCTTTGGCCTCTTCCAAGGTTTTTCTCCTCATGTTATACATGGCGTAACTTTTTTCAACAACAAAGGAAGCCGCTCGGCGCTTGAGTTCTTCTTTGAGATGTGTTACCTCAGCAGAAAGGTTTTCCTGAGCGGACCTAGGTGATTTGAGGCTGACATCAAGGTTGCGGATAGCTGATCTAAAGAGCCTATTATGCTCGATAGTTTTCATGTACTTCTCTTCTAGCTGGGCGTGTTTCGCTCCCACAACAGCAAGCTCTTCCATTTTGGAGTTCAATGATTCCTCTAAGTTAATCACTCTTTCAGCGGAGGCAGGCTCGCGTTCGGTTGTAGCAAGAACAGTATTATGAACTTCAACCCATTTGGCCCTGGTTTCATCAAATCTAACCATCAAAGGGCCAATTTCATAACTAAGGGTTACTACTTCTTGCTTACTATGATGCAAACGAGCTTCCAATATAACAGCCTCAGCGACTTTGGCTTCCAGTTCTGAAAGGCGAGCGACATGTTGCTCTTGCTCTGCCAAAAGCTGATCCCGTGCGGAGATAATCTCTTCTTTTTCACGAATCGACCTTTGAAGGCCCTAGGAAGCAAGAAATCTGGCCTACAAAGTAATAAGGATAAAATTCAGGAGATGTTCACACCCTAAAATAGAAGAAGTAATAAAGGAAGAATGCAACGTACCACTACGGCGTTATGCGTAGCATTGTTCAACAAACACTCTCCCGAGAGTGCTTGAACAATATCCCAGTCTTTCTGTAAAGCCAAAGGCTTCAGATAATTAACGAGCTCCACCGACATGGATAGCAAGTTCCATCCAGTAGATACCAAAAGAGTAACACTCCTCCTTCTTTGTGGATCTTTAGAAGGGGCAGCATAATTTTGCTCAAAATTCCCATGAACTAGGGACTGTGGAAGAGAAATACCTTCTTCGCAGTCAGACGCGGCCGGCAGAGGTGGTGTAGCAATTATTGGTAGAATAATGGATGAAGATGGAAGTGATGTTGCTGTTGTTGGTGAAGATAGAGATGAAGCTTATGGAGTTGAAGAGTGAGAAGCAGTTGCATCAAATGCAGTGCTAGTTGTTGCATGCTCGCCAACCAATGATGGCAAGGATCCGGTACTCAGCTCCACAGTACCGGACACAGCAATTGGGGCCCGAAAAATGGGAGTTGACATTATCTACTAAATCAAATTCTCCCCAAAAAGCCGAGGCATCGTCCTCGGTTGGTGTAACTCTCTCAACAAGTTGAGCATCTTATTGAGATGATGAGGATCGTCGTCTTCTATGTAGAGAAGCTCGCTCATCACTAGCTTCTTAAAGCAGTGGACGAGGACACGACGCCTAATGCCTCTCCTAGGCGAGGTGGATCACCCCCTACCCACTGCAGCATCACAAAATCTCTTAGTAAAATAGCCTCCACATCCATGGGAGATGAGGCACCACCAGCTATAAAGAAGCTTCTTGAGGCCTGGCTAACTGATACACTGACCAACGTCCTCCATAAGTCCGCTTGGGACGTGGCCACAGAAAATGCGAGAACCTGTGTTACGCCACCAGTAGACGAGCAACATGATCAACCTCCTCCTCCTCCCACGACGACAGGTATTACTAATAATGTTATTGACAATGCAGGTGATGACACTCTCACGGTATTTTCTGAAAAGGATGGAGGAAATGGAAAATGAGAACAAGGTACTTCAGGAAAAAATAAAAGAACACCAAGAAAGGGTCGATAAAATACTGGGCACTCCTAAGCTATTGGCAAAGAGAGATGCCGGTCGGTTCTGCCCCACATGCCATACGAAAGACCTTTAAAATGCCAACCTATCTAAAAATATACGATGCCACAACCGACCCCAAGGATCTCGTGACCCACTATGTCATCGCCGTGAAAAGCAATGACCTCGCCAATGAACAAGTATCATCCGTTCTACTAAAGAAATTCAGCAAAACCCTCACGGGAGGTACATTAACCTGTTATTAGAAACTGCCGCCACGTTCCATCAAAACCTTTGAGAAAATGGTCGATAAGTTCGTAACGGCCCATGTCGGGGCCAAGAAGGCCAAGGCAAGAGTCAACGATATCTTTGCTATCAAACATTCTCTGGGAGAGGGGCTGAGGGACTTCCTCGCCCATTTAAACCGAGTAAAAAAGGACTTGCCCAACGTATCGAGGGCGACAAGAAAATTATTAAGTCAACTTATAAAATATCCCCCAACGACATGGGACAAAATACATAACGCATATTATGCTGAAGTTCAAGCAGAATCCCGAAAATAACAAAGAAATGATATCAAAAGAGACCCTATGGCCTCACGACCAAATCGGAAACGGCATCTCCCATACGTCAGAACCACCGTTGCATCCTCATCCCGCCATGAAGAAGGGCCACCCTGATCAAGGACAGGGATTCACCGGAATGAGAGAGGTATGCCCCCTTTTTTATCTGCTCACTATTTTTGTGTTTCACCTACAAAGATAGTCTACGCATTAGAGAAGCTCGGACCAAAGGTGAAGTGGCCACAAAAGATGAGGTCATACCCGAATACTAGAAAATCAGATGCCCTCTACGAGTTCCATCAAGAGCGAGGACACAAAACCGAAGATTGCATCTCCCTAAAATAAGAGGTCGCAAACATGCTGCGACAGGGACACCTCAGAGAATTGTTGAGCGATCGGGGAAGGACAAACTTTACCAGGGGACGCGAACAACATAAAGGGCCTCCAAAACTGACTTCGCCAGCCCGCACAATCCATATGGTCATCGGTGGAGGGGACGATGCTTCCATCAACAATGTGAAGTTCACCACAATCCACAAGCTCAAACAATCGATCACCCACGAAAGGTATGGTGAACTCGAAGAAAGTATAATCTTCGATAAGTTAGATACCGATGATTTGTCTTTCCCTTACTATGATGCTCTCGTTATCACTTTACGAATTTTAGATACTAACGTTAGACGAATTGTGGTAGACGATGGGAACGGCGTGTGTATTATCCATCCTCGAGTACTCACACAAATGAAACTCGAGGACAACATAGTGCCACGCTGCATCACAATAATAGGATTTAACAATGCAGTTGAGTGAACATTCAGCGATATCACACTCCTCGTCTTAGCATGTGGCGTCACTCTAGAAACCACATTCCATATCATGGACCAGGACATGGCATATAATGCCATAATAGGGCGACCATGGATACACACCATGAGAGCCATCCCCTCCAGCTTGTACCAAGTCATCAAATTCACAACTTTTTGGGGAATATTTATTATACGAGGGAAACAATGCACGTCCCAAGAATGCTACTACATCGCCCTAGATTATACGGCCACTCAACAATCAAAGGATAAATAAAAAGAGGCATAGCAATCAACAAGGTCGAGGTTGGTATGCGATGACAGCGAGGACATCATCAGAGACCCCGACATGGTCGAGGCCGCAGAATCGACCATAGAGGACCTCGACCCTATTCAATTAGACTGCAACAACCCCAGCAAGAAATTTTCCATCAGCTGCAAACTTCGAGAAGCAAGTAAGTTTCATGAATTTTTAACTACTAACGTGGACTTGTTTGCTTTTAGCCATGCAGATATGCCAGGTTTCCCAAAGGAAATTGCCATGCACAAACTAAACGTCGATCCACTATACCCCCCGGTGAGGCAGGTTAGGCATAAGTTCAACTCCGCAATTAATGATCCAGTATGCGAAGAAGTGGAAATATTGTTGGAAAATGGCACTATCAAGGAGTCGAAGTACACCCAATGGGTCGCCAACGTAGTCATGGTGAAAAACAAGAATGGAAAGTGGTGGAAGTGCATAGATTTCACTGGCCTAAACTAAGATTGACCCAAGGATTCATTTCCATTACCTCACATCGACCAACTCATCGACGCAACGGCCGGGCACGAGCTACTAAGTTTCTTGGATACCTACTCGGGCTCTAATCAGATCCTCATGGAGGAAGAGGACCAAGAAAAGACCACCTTCATCACCCACCAAGGGACGTACTACTACAGGGTCATGCCCTTCGTACTGAAAAAATGCGGGGGCAACTTACCAAAGGTTGGTGACTAAGATGTTCAAACACCAACTCGGCAAAATGATGGAAGTCTACATCGACAACATGCTGGTCAAATACAAAAGGAAAGAAGATCACCTAGACCACTTGAGAGAAGCCTTCGGCATACTAAGGCAATATAACATGAAACTGAACCCCGAAAAATGTGCATTCGGCGTGGCCTCAGGAAAATTCTTAGGTTTCCTAGTGTCGCAGCGAGGTATCGAGGTCAATCTAGACTAAATCAAGGCCATCGACAGGATGCCATAGCACTTAACCACCAAAAACCAAGTCCAGAGGTTGACTGACCGTATCTCCACCCTTTCGAGGTTAATTTCACAATCCTCCGATAGGTGCCATAAGTTCCTCGGCGTACTCAAAAAGGAGAATGGTCTCTAGTGGACCTCATAGTGCATCCAAGCCCTAAAAGAGTTAAAGGTGTACTTGTCCTCGCCACTGTTGCTTTCAAAGCAAAAATCGGGACAACCCCTCCTCGTCTATCTCGCTGTGTCCGAAGTAGCTGTGAGCGAAGTCCTAGTCCAAAACAATAAAGTTATACAATCTCCCATCTACTACATTAGCAAAGCACTAGTAGATGTCGAGACAAGATATCCCCAGCTCGGTCATCACGGCTTTCCCCTTAAGAAGCATTTTACATAAACCCGATCTATCAGGCAGGTTGGCCATATATGCCATCGAACTGAGCGAGCATAATATTACAAATCGGCCACCAACGGCGATAAAGTCACAAGTCCTCGCATACTTCATCACCGACTTCAGTGCAAAAATAATGGCCAAAGTCGAAAAAGAAGTGTCCACGCTTCTCCACAAATATAAGAACTATGGGTCCTATACACCGATAACACGTCTAACGTGTCAGGAACTGGGCTGGGACTCGTACTCCAAGTCCCAACAGGCGAAGTGATTCACCAATCCATAAGATTCACGTACATGACTAACAACGAGGCCGTAATTGCAGGACTGAGATTAGCACTCAAATATGGGGCGAAACGGCTCAGGTTGCGCTGTGATTCTCAACTCGTGGTCAACCAAGTCACATGGATTTTCAAAATCAAAGAGGAAAGGTTATAAAAGTACCAAACCGAAATCTGCAAGCTACTACCCGAATTCGACGAATGATCCCCCGAGCACAGAACACCGAGGCAGACGGCCTCGCCAAATTAGCCGAAGCCAACAAAAACATTACAATAGGAGAAAGAAATGTGGTCCACCTCCTCAGCTCATCGATAGATCAAATCCAGGTAAGAACCATAAACCTGACTTGGGATTGGTGCAACTGTATTATTATATATTTGCATTAGGGCATACTCCCCAACGATAAAAAAGATGCCAAGAAGCTACGAATGCAAGCATCCAGATACAGCATCATTTAGAACAACTTGTACAAAAGGACATATGACGGCCTTTTGGCGAAATGTTTAGGCTCAAATCAAACGTGGCACATCCTTAAAGATGTACACGAATGCCACTGTGGAGCTCACTCCGGCAATCAAGCTTTAGTCAGATGCCTCATACTGGCAGGGTATTACTAGACCACCATGAAATAGGAGGCCGCGGATTTCGTGAAAAAATGCAAGTAATGCCAGAAGTACGCCTCCAATGATCCACCAAACAGGCAAACACCTACACTCAGTAACTTCCCCTTGGCCGTTCATCAAATGGGGAATGGACTTCATGGGCCCCCTCCCGACAGGACAAGGTAACGTATGATTTCTCTTTGTTTTAACTGACTATTTCTCTAAATGGGTGGAAGTAGGAGCATTCTCCCAAATACGCGAATAGGAAGTGATCACCTTCATATGGAAAAACATCATATGCCATTTCTGTCTTCCCAAATAAATCCGATGCGACAACGGACCCTGATTTATAGGAAAGAAGGTCACCAACTTTTTTGAAAAATGGAAAATCAAAAGAATACTCTCAACGCCTTACCACCCCTTAGGCAACATGCAAGAAGAATCCTCCAACAAGTCAATGCTGAACATCATGAAGAAGAAACTCAATGACGGCAAGGGACTGTGGCCGAAATTATTGCCAAAAGTACTCTAGGCCAACCGAACATCGTCAAAGAGGAGCACAGGAGAAACGCCATACTCGTTAGTCTATGGGACTAATGCAGTATTACCGATCGAGGTCGGGGAGCCCAGGCAAAGTTATTCCCGCGTAAACGGACCCCAGAATGATGACAGTAGAATGCTGGCTCTCGACGAAGTCGAGGAAGGAAGAGATATGGCCTATGTGAGAATAGTCGCTCAAAAGCAACAAACAGAATGCTATTATAACAAAAAGGCAAAGATCAGGCCACTCAAAGTCGGGGACTACGTGCTTAAATCCAAAACACAAGCAAGCAAAGGCCCGTGGGAGAGCAAACTAGGAACAAACTGGGATGGCCCCTACAAAATCACGATAACAACAAATAAAGGGTCATTCACACTAGAAACAATGGAAGAAAAGTGACTACCAAACAACTTGAATATTGCACACCTCAAGTATTTCAACTTTTAAAAGACGATGTCCCCAAAGTCGTAATCTTTTTCCCTCACTCCAGTTTTGTCCCAATTCGGTTTTCTTGAGGAGGTTTTTAACGAAGCGATGACGAGGATACTTCAGGATTGAAGTGCACACAGACGAAGGAACTAAATAGCTAGTTCATTGCTCGACCTCTTAATACTTTTCTAGTTAGACCAATGAAGGGACTAGATGGACTGGGATTGGGACTGAAAGGCCAGCCAGCGCCCAGAAAATATGTAAATCTCTCCAAGTATTTGAACAAAGCACAAATACATGAAGTTTATTTCTGTTCTCCCCAAATATAGATTATATTCGACATCGTTCGAATCAACACCTAATCGGCCCTCGGCCATAACTAAATATAGGTTATATTTGACCTTATTCGAATCAACACCTAGTCAGCCCTTGGTCATAACTAAATATAGGTTATATTGGACCTTGTTCGAATTGACACCTAATAGATCCTCGACCATAACTAAATATAGGTTATATTCGACCTCGTTCGAATCAACACCTAGTCGGCCCTCGGCCAAAACTAAATATAGGTTATATTTGACCTCGTTCAAATCGACACCTAATCGGCCCTCGGCCATAAATAAACATATGATCTGTTCGACCTCGTTCGAACTAACACCTACTGGCCCTCGGCCATAATCAAACGTAAGAATTTGTTTCAACCTCGTTCAACCTACTTGAACAAAGTTATTATGACTAGGGCAACCAAGCAACAAAATCAAAAAAACATACAAACCGGAATATAAGAAAAAGAGTCAGGTACAATTAACAGAACTAGCATTTCATACTTAGAATATTTTTTACAAAGGCTCGAAAATACGCCCACAAATAAATACACAAGTCTGCGGCTAAACAAAAAAGAAGGAAATAAAAACAACTAATCGTCGCCTGGCCCAGCAGCGCCATCAGCTTGATCGCCTAGGCCATCTCCATCCGCCTCTTCGCCATTGCCATCGCCATCGCCAGTGGGATACTTATCCTCATACCACACGTCCTGTTCAATTCGATCAATGCCTGCACCCTCGTCGATGTCACCGGCCTCTGGTGTAGCGGGATCATAGCCACAACCAACCCGAGCTCTACGTGCCTTAACACGAGCATCCTCGAAGTCGGCCTCTGAAGTAGTTCCCACCCCCATCAGATCTCTAAATATATCCAGCAGTGCCTCGGCGTGAATCCATTCCTCGTACAAATCCTGTGGAATGTCGGAAAAAGCAGAAGTACGGGAAGAAGATGGCTGAGCCAATAATTGTGCCTTCTCGGCCTCGAGAGCAGCAACTCAATCACAAAGGCCTGTAGCCTATTTTTCTAGCTCCCTTATCTGCTCATCAAGCCGCTCCTCTATGAGCCTGGCCGTCTCAAGAGAACTCTCCCGCTCAGAACGAATAATGTGGAACACGATCTCACCGCTTGGAGCGTCAGCTTTAAGTTGACATTCCTCGAGCTTGGCGCGCAATGAGACCACTGGGCTTGAAGATCG